TCCATTAAAAGATAAGTTCTCTATCATTTTTTCAATTCATAAATGCACACTTGCATTGCCTACTAAGAAAGTTAGTAGCCGGTAGTCATCGGGTTCAAAGTAAAAAAAAAAAATGGAACAAATTTTCATAAAATATATGGAATGTACATTACAAAAAACAATCTCTTTACTATTAAAGAAAAATGTGTGCAATAAAAATTCATTTGAAATGGGTTGTTTATGAGCAAACCAAAACTAACTGGCATGAAACCACATTGAAAATTAGAAGCAAATACATAATTAATTTAGAACAATAGACATTTTAGCTGTGCAATTAATTATGAAAATAATAAAATAATAAATTGTAAAACATCATGTACTCTGATTTCCTGGCCAATTATTTCAATGGTTGATTCCAATGCTCTAGTTCCACGAGTGTGTTCATCTTCTACAGACTTGACTGTCTTCAATAAAGATGTCACATTTGTTACCATTACCTGTGGGGAGAAGTTACAGAAACTTACAGCTAGAACACAACATTTGTTACCATTACTGGTGGGGTGAAGATACAGAAACTTAAAAGCCAGAACACAACATTTGTTACCATTACCTGTGGGGAGAAGTTACAGACTCTAAGCAATCAGAACACAACATTTGTTACCATTACTGGTGGGGAGAAGTTACAGACTCTAAGCAATCAGAACACAACATTTGTTACCATTACTGGTGGGGTGAAGTTACAAACTCTAAGCAATCAGAACACAACATTTGTTACCATTACTGGTGGGGTGAAGTTACAGACTCTAAGCAATCAGAACACAACATTTGTTACCATTACTCGTGGGGTGAAGTTAAAGAAACTTAACGGCTAGAACAAAACATTTGTTACCATTAACTGTGGGGAGAAGTTACAAAAACTTAACAGCTAGAACACAACATTTGTTACCATTAACTATGGGGAGAAGTTACAAAACTTAACAGCAAGAACACAACATTTGTTACCATTAACTGTGGGGAGAAATTACAAAAACTTAACAGCTAGACCACAACATTTGTTACCATTAACTGTGGAGAGAAATTACAAAAACTTAACAGCTAGACCACAACATTTGTTACCATTAACTGTGGGGAGAAGTTACAAAAACTTAACAGCTAGACCACAACATTTGTTACCATTAACTGTGGGGAGAAGTTACAGAAATTTAGCAACCAGAACACAACATTTGTTACCATTATCTGTGGGGAGAAGTTACAGAAACTTAGCAACCAGAACACAACATTTGTTACCATTACTGATGGGGTGAAGTTACAGAAACTTAAAAACTTACACTTTTTGGAGATATGATGTACACACGAGGCTACAACCCAAATCACATATTTCACCTTACATATGATGCATATTCATCTAATTTTATGAAGTACTGGTTATTATTTGACTAAAAATATTGATTATCTTTCCAGTACATCCAAGAATAGCAGGGAAGCATTTATTTAGGAAATGACTTGTTTATCTACCAATAGACAATGCTGCATATAAATATAAATATGTACTCATCCTAAACTTGAGACTGATTTATGGAGAAAAAAAAAACATTATCCCCTTACCATGCTTTTGACCCTCACCTGTGTGGAATCAAAATTTGAGAGAGACCTCAGTTTACTAATATATAAAATTAAACAATCTCAAAAGGGGGGGGGGATTGTTAGATTTTAATAAACAACTCCTTTACCTTGGCCGAGTCTTTCAAATGGAACATGGCAGGGTCGTTGATACTCTTGCCCGAAGCAGCTTTAGTTGCTTGGATAAGAAAACCTAAAGCACTGGCAACATCTTTTACAGCATTAATCAGCAAAACCTGCAGTACAGAATATACCAAATATTTATATCAAATCTAAGTACTGTTACCATAAGATCTGTAATAACATTTTCCTTTTAAAAATGTTATTTGGTGCTAGTTTTAAAATTTCAAAAATTTCTAACGGTTCAGTGATTATTGATTTTATGTTCTTCAATCTTTTTGCAGAAGCAAACCAGCAATCTCTGAAATAACGAATGAACATGAAAAGTTTGTAATTAACCTGAATGGTGTTTAAAACTACTTAATGTGATTTTTTTTTATTCCTACTATTCTGCTTTTTAAGGTGATATCATGACAGTTGATATTAACTTTAAAATGATTTTTTTATAACATTACTTATTCAAAAAGCTGAACTTTTCAAAATTACTTCCTACTGGCCATTTTAGTAACAAGAATCATGTACACAAGTCTTGATGACCATTTTTTTTGTCAAAAATTCACCTTAAAAAGTTAAAACCAACAATTTTTTTATAGATATATAGACTTTTCAGACACCCTGTACTTAAAAACATTACATGTGGATTGCCAGGAATTAAAATAATCTATTTAACAATCCCCCCAAAAAAGAGGGAGCCATACAAACTTTCCTTAAATGAAATATTTTCCATGGAAGCATTTCTGTCTCGATACTGCTTATGTAAGCAATGTTTGAATTGTATTTCACCCCGGAACAACAGAATATACACATCAAACTGCAATTATCTAAATATGAAGTCCTAAATACATCACTAGAATATCATTATATTCATGAGCTCTTAAATATGACCAAATATCAAAAGCTCAATTTTTTCTCTTCTTTCGTTTTTATATTATATAATACCTTAGTTTTCAGTAATTTTATCAAGTTGTTTTGCATTTCCATTTTTGTCACATGTTATACGGCTTGTCTTGTGACTCTTTGGTTTTTCCTGATGTTAATTCTTCTTACTGTGTTTACTTTTTGGGTTTACATTATGGTGCACATTTTCTTTAAGGAACCACAGATCATGTGAGTTTTGTTTACTATGTTTCTATACTCGCACTTCAGACAGTCATATCCTCCTTACTTCTTCCACAGAACACAGTATCATTCATTCATAGAGGCCAAAATTTAGTCCAATGATTCAGCATTCAAGTGAAACAATTTGGGGCATGAATTAAAAATCACACAATATAATAAACATCTTATTTTTCAAACTTCAAGACTTGAAAAAATACACAACCTACTTGGGCTTCAGAATTATTGGATCCTAGTGATGCTGCTCCACGTTTGACAACTTCAGAGAGTTGCACGATAGTTGCAACAGAATTCTGAGCAGCAACAGCCAACTGTTCCTGGCTAGAAGCTGCTCCAGCAACTAGAGTTTTCGTATCTTCAACAAGAGCCTTTGCAGTTTTCAGGATATTTTCTCTAAACAAAGAAGTTTCCTTCATTCAGTCGATGAAACAACAACTGATAACAAGAAACCTTTTACTCTTATTTTAAATGTTTAGTCATTCTCATTGTATGTAAAAATTATTTGTTTGTTTGCTGATAAACACAAAGCTACACAATGTGCTCTCTGTGCTGTGCCCTTCAGGAGTACCTGGTTTTTAGTGGTGTGAGTCTGTAGACTTACTGCTGAGCCACTAAGGGGCTAGTAAAAAGTTTAAATAAAAATCCTCTTTAACATAAATTTAGTAGGTTGTACAACTTTTCCTATCACATGTTTATAAATTTTATAAAATATCACAAGTGACTTATTTTAGGCATGGTGTAGGTATTTACAAAACAACAATAGAGTGGTTTTCAAGACTTTACATAAGTTTAAATAAATGTTTAAGGAATACAATAAGATGAAATCTAAAATGGTAGTGTTATATTCACACAAAATTTAATGACAAGGATAAGATTAAATTATATTAAAAAAAGAACTAAAAATTAACCTATGATCAGAAAAAGTTTCCTTTTCATTTTCTGAATGTAAAGTTCCAGCAGTAGCAAACATGATGGTGGTATCCAAGTCTCCAATAATTCCACTAACAGTGCTGGCTGCATTAATACAAGCTTGTGTTCCTCTGGAATTTGCCTGAAGAGCAGCTAGCACAAAAGAAACCTGAGGAAGAGAAAAACTGGAAAGTGAGGAGATCTCTCACCGAGTCAGAGGTTTCCATATTTAACAGTAAAAACCATTAATAGTCAAATATAATGATCTAAAATGTACACATGACTGAAATGGTTCCTTTAGTGATAAACTACAACAAAGCAGTTGGTATGTGGTTGGTGGCAAGTTTAAGTAATTCTTATTAGACTGAAATACTCTTTAGCTTCAAAAGATGACTGGAAATAAACAGTGAAAATTTGATTTTCAATCCATCAATAATAAATACTGAGATGTTTCATCAAAAAATATCTTCCATAAATGTGTGCTGCATGATGAACTCCTATACATCACACGTGCTCATGATACGACTTTCCTTGCTTGAAATTCATGGAAATTTGTATTGTGCATAAAAAACAGTATCTAAAAAACACATGGAAAAATTTGTTTTGGCTGAGAGTTAAAAACAAAGACAGTAAGAGGATCAAAATGTTACATTCCTGAGGAATTCAATTTTGCTTGAGGAATTTCTCGATTGGGAATGCATGGCCCATCCGTATTCCTTTAGTTATGACCAATGAAAGTGAACATATTACATGGATTAAATAAAAAACAATTCATGAGGAAATGAAACTTTACATAGGGAAATGTAATCTTCCTGATAGCTTTCCCTCGAGTGAATGTAATTTCATTTCAACATTTCTATCAGCACTAAAGCTTATTGTATTTTAGTTTAGTCATTTTCCTCTTCCTCTGTGTCAAGTTCTGAGGTGGAACTCTCATTAAAAAAAACCAAAAAAACCTACATCTGTTTTTGTTTCATGCAGTATATGCTAAAAAAACCTAAAAAAGTTGTAAAAATAACACCTTCAAAAATAACATACCGAGTTTGTAAAACTAAAAATTTGGGGGAAATAATTATGCCAATTTTAATTAATTTATAGGCTTGGATTCAATTTTGCAAAAAGCTAGTCAATTATTATCTGTGCTAACCGTCTTTAATTTAGGGAATGCAGCTAGTCAATACCACCCACCGCCAACTCTTGGGCTAATCTTTTACCAATGAATAGTGGGATTGACCATCACATTATGATGCCCCTACAGCTGAAAGGGCAAGCATGTTCAATGAAGGGATTTAAACCCATGACCCTCAAATTGTGAGTCAAGTGTCCTAACTACCAGACCATGCCAGGCCTTTAATATACATGCCTACTTTTCTGGTTTCTGATTTTGTTTAACAAACAGTAGGAATAAAGGAAGGTGTTCTAAAAAAACTCATAATTTTACATGACCATGCCAACTGTCAAATGAAGGTGTTCTAATAAACTCATCAATAACTTTCAAATCTATGAAAACAAATTAATAAAAGAACAAGCTATATATTCAATTAAATAATAAACATTTCCATTTTAATATTAAATGCCCACAAGATAATGATTATTAAGCAAAAAATGGAAATGCATTTAAACATTAAACATACTGGTGTAAACAGGACTAAACAATCACACAAAAAAAAAATTTAAAATGATTTCATACACGAAAATACATTACAGTTTCCTTTATAGATCCTGTTTTTATTTCCCTTAGCTAATTAACTTCAAACAAGGTGCATTTTGTACATAATCCAGCAATAACTGTGTGAAAGAAATTGGAATTGTCATTTTATGTTCAACATCTTTTGTAAAGATTTAGCCAAACACCACTACTTTTGAAGACATTTTACTATTACTGCCATCTATTGTTATTACCTTATGTAATACTTTATACTATAACCTTTATTGCAGTATGTGTATCTTCACAAAATTTGGTATACTTTTAGTAAGCATTAAAAGTCTTTTGTACACAAAATATCATATTTTTTAATGAAGTATTTTTAATACAGATTTGTTTGTGAATATATCGAGTCTGTTTTGTTACTAGTCCGAGTAAAAAGTGATTTTCATGTTATGATTAAAAAACTATTCTTCATCCCAAAATCTCAAATATCATTTGTGTAATCTCTAAAACCTCCTAAATACATTTCAAACATTTGTTTTCAGTAAAACTTTACATTTTATCTGTTATTTTCTCTACCCTAAATCTATACAAGGTTGGACAATTTGACTGAACTTTTCACCACCAAAAAAGAAATAAAATTAAATCTAAATTGCCGTTTTTTCTTTCTAGAATGACTTCAAATTGTAACATGAAACTGCATTCATTTATCCTAAGTAGCTTTAAGCTTGTAACAGTATATATCTATTTATACTTAAATTTTATTGTTTTATTGCTCTGTGATTGCCCTTTGAACAACTAACTTCTACTATTCATGCCATTATAACTTGTAAATCACTTCTGGAACCTGCAGCTCACATAACACTATCAAATTACATTACCCACCAGATGTGTGCCTCGTGAAACATTTTTATTATATTATTATTTATTTTATCTAATCTAACCTTAACTAACCTAAAGAGATCCCTATTTTTACAATTTAGTTAATTTTATAAGAATAAATAAAGAATAAACATAAAAATAAAGTACTTACCCGCGTCTTTTTTTTTGCTGTTGACTGTCAATGTCACTTGATCCTACTTTTTTATACTAATGGTAATAATGCACTAAGTAATTTTTATTTAATTAAATAATGCACAAAAAGACATAGAATAATAACATGCAAAAAGCAGATAATTTTCCCTAACTATCACAATTTTTGAGGCTTTCTAACTATGCGACAAGAGCCGTTACAAATTCATCCAAGCTATTCGTTATCTTTCCCGTGGGAACAAAGCTTGTACTAACAGAGAAAATGATATTTCTCTGTTCAGAAAACAATGTAATATAATATGTCATTTGATAGATGAAAACATTGGCTTTCTATTGGTTATACATAATATAGAATTAAACATAAGAGAGAACTATTAACAAATCCTGAAAGAGAGGATGTGACAGGTGGATGTGGTAAGAGGGGTTTGATTTTCTATTTGATGGCTCTGTAACCAAACAAAATTGAAGGCTATAAATATTATGGTTTGTCTGAATGAAATAGAGAAGAGAGGATGGCTAGAGAAAATAAGTCATATTTCTCACAAAAGTGGAAATTCAGGATTTTTTAAAATATTACTTTATCAAATTAAAAACTGAAAATTTATATATTATTAAAATATTGGTTATTAGCTATGATTTTATGCTATACTAATTGGTATAACATAAACAAAAAGTAGTTTTATTAAATTTTGAAAAGAAATCACTAAAAGACTGACATGCACAGTTAGACCCCCACCCATCGCAAAAGGATTAATTAGAATGTAATTTGTAGAACAGTTGAAAAACATCTACATTTTTCTTAAAACATTTCCTGGAAACATGGCAAAAGAGCTTTGAAACTGACCACAATGCTAATGTTTCTTGACCACTGAAAATAGATATGGAAATGGCAATGATATCTTTTCCATTTTTGCAATAAAACACTTATTTCAAGGTAAGTTGAACTGATTTACTCACTCTTTCTGAAACAATTTTTGCATTTCTCGACACTTCTCTCTGACAGAAGATGTCAATGTGGTTACTCTGACAATCCCCTGCAGATTTAGTCAAGTCTATACATGCTGATCCTAGGCCCTGCACAGCAGTACGGATTCGGTTAGCAACCTGGAAGACCAAAAAAAAACATTATAATTTAGAATCATTTGGTTAAATTTTTTTTTTTATTTCCAAAGCCAATCTAAAGATACAAACTTCCAGACTTTTCTCACATTTAACTACTTTTTGGCAAGCTTTCTGCTCCCTATGCTTGAGCTTTTATTGGATTGTGTAGGATAATTACAAACAACAGCAATAGAACAATCTGAAAACAAAAGTACAAACAACATATGTGGCCTGCTGGTAGAAAAATAACAGAAGTTTTTCACAATATCTATAAAAAAAATAGAAAAGTTATTTTAATTTGAATATCTAAGGAAAAAGGTACAACTCAGTAGCATCTTCTTACTTTGGATACTTACTGAAATTTCTGGTAACTAAGCCAACAAAAAAACATTGCAGGTAAAGGATAGACAAATAAAACTAGAGTATACAGATACACACTATTATGGAAAAATAAAATACATTTTGGTAACAAAGGTATATGACGAACAGTGACATAACTACAAAAGATGCCCACCCCACATAAAAAGTAACTGGGCCCTCCTACATTTATTTTCCTATAATTTGTAGTTACGATTCTGGCTGATTTGGGCCACCTTTTGGCTCCCAGGGGGCATACTTACGCTACTGATGAAAAAGAAAGACTCACAAAGCTGTTGGGATACACTGTGAATCAAGCTTAAACAAAGCTGTTGGGATACACTGTGTATCAGGCTTAAACAAAGCTGTTGGAATACACTGTGTATCAGGCTTAAACAAAGCTGTTGGAATACACTGTGTATCAGGCTTAAACAAAGCTGTTGGGATACACTGTGAATCAGGCTTAAACAAAGCTGTTGGGATACACTGTGAATTAGGCTTAAACAAAGCTGTTGGGATACACTGTGAATCAGGCTTAAACAAAGCTGTTGGGAAACACTGTGTACCAGACTTAAACAAAGCTGTTGGGAAACACTGTGTACCAGGCTTAAACAAAGCTGTTGGGAAACACTGTGTACCAGGCTTAAACAAAGCTAGTTGGGAAACACTGTGTACCAGGCTTAAACAAAGCTGTTGGGAAACACTGTGTACCAGGCTTA